AATCAATGCAGGCATACATGCCTTACATTAGCACTGATGAAGATTATTAACTGCTTTCACAAACACTATGCAAAATGTGTAAAGAGCCAGGAAAAAATACTGGAAGGATGTGTTCACTTGGCTCTGTGCAGCTCAGCCTTTTTGCAAAGCACAGAAACTGCTTCTTGTGGGGATTAACTGAGCATTTCCACAGGGATATATTATTTTTAATTCTTTGTGGCTTATTCTTTAAATCACTTAATTTAAATCCATATGATTTCAATTATTAGATGATGCCAAAACAAGCTAAACAAGGCTGTTTTGGATAGACAAGACTTGCTTCAAGATTCCAAAGTGCATGTGTGTGTATAAATATATATATTTAAAAGACTGATACTGACTTGCAGAAATACACCAATTTTCTGGAAGTAGTTTTTGATCCAGTAAGCTATTATATGTACTATCATATGTGCTACATGTTTCTGTCATTGCACTCATATATAAGAATTCTTCATGAAATTAAAAAGAAACACGTAACCTAAAAGAAGGCCAAGTTATGCCATAAGGCATGAATTTAAGCTGTTTAAATCAGTGTAATTCTACATGAGGGCTACTCTTCTGTGGGTAGAACAGGGCGTACTGTCAGTGTAGCTTATGTTGCTGCGGGAGCATTTTCAACTGAGCTCAAAACCCCACTGCCAGTCCGGAACAGTTGTTGGTACTGATGTGCCAACAGATGTAACTGCTGTGATTTAACCACAGCAACGCTGGAGACCAAGTCCTGAGAGACGTGACCAGGCACTTTGCACTGAGCACCAGTGAGCACTCTTCGAATTTCTATGTTATGGCTTGTTGTGACTTCTTTTCCTCTTTCAGACTATAAAATCATCCAAGCATGTTTCTAAATATTTTTGCACAACAAAATAAATGCATTTAACTTTGCGATGACAAAACCTGTCTGCAAGAACAGGTTAAAGAAACCAGGGCATTGACAAACAGAATGTGTAAATTACACGTCACTTTTGTCACTAAAATTTCTTATGGTACAATAAATGATAATGATTTCTCATTTCAATACTGTGGCCCAAGATTTTCTGTCACAATACACTCAATTTCAACTCTTAAGAAAAAAATCCGTAATACCCATGTAAACTTTGGTGTTCTACAAAATACTTCTTTTTGTATTTGTTTGTTACGTGTTGTGAACTAAAGAAAGGACAGGATGGAAAAGAAATGGAGAAAAAAGCGCCTTACCCTCATGAAATGAAGAAGAGTTAGCCATGGCAAAGAGATGTAAATAGGAAAAGCTGGATGCAAGATGTGTGGAAAGGAAAGTAAAGGCATCACTGAAAACAGGGAAAAAGAAACAAAAGAAGAAGTGAGGAGGAATGGGGAATGGTTCCTCTAAAACAATATATTCTGAAGGGTAGTTTTCCAATGGTTTTTGTAAGGGTTGTGGAAAGAAGCAAAGGCATGGACAACACTAGTAACAGCTGCCATTATATCTACAATGAGCCATGATGTTGCTGAACAGAACTTGCTCTTGTCAGTAGAGATTGCAAAATTGTAATCAGTACTGTATTATCGTGAAGAAATCTACATATGAAGTCACAACTCTGCAGAACGTATTAGGGAAACCAAGTCATGTGCTAATATCTACATAGAAATAACTTTCTATATATGCAACTCTGCAGAACATTATGCACAGTATTACACATCACCTCAGCCTTGCTCAAGCACTTGTGATTTGTCTGATTGGTAAAGTGGGGTAAAAATGTTTTTAAATGCATTTTAAAGGTGTGGGTTAGACTGATCCACTGGTGGAATATTACTCAGAATGTAAGTAGAAAAATGACGTTTCTGAAACATGCAATGTTTAACACACTTATCTAGAGTAGGGAAACTAGACAACATGCAAGTTTTGAACCTGGATTCCCCAGTTCAGTTTTGCATCTTGCTTCTCAATTGTTCATGGCATTACTGATTTTTTTGGTGCTGTTCATTTGTTTGCTTTTTGAGAATTAGCATATGGAAGGACTCTGAATCTTCTCCTCCCTTGTCACAGAGGTTCTGGTCTCATCATAGTGAAGAAAAGGAACCAATTTGGAAATTCTTAAAAAGGTTTCACACACACAAAAAAATGCTCCCCATCCAGCATTAGTATGGTTTTCTTTAATAAACAAAACTGTTTCTCCAGTGCTTTTGTCCATCTCTCTGCTCTGACTAAATCATGAGCTTTAGACTGCCTATAGGAATGAGAGAGTGACAGCCAACTATCCAGCTTAACATCTCTAGTGAAAAAAATCCAGAAGATGCTGTGGTATTCATTTTCAATCCACAATTCACCGTCAGTACTTTGCATAAGCATGAAAGAGGGTGAGGCAACTTGCAAGTGATTCTTGTTTTTTCCTCTCTTCTCCCCAAGAGTTCTAAGTGCCCAGGAATGGCGTTGGGATAATGGAAGAATAAAGAGGAGCCCAGAAACCAGAATGGTCATATACCCAAACTGCTACAAAGGCCATTTAACTTGCATTTGCTTCCAAGGATACTGCTACGTCCCACCAGGTCTGTCACACAGGTCCACTCTAATATGCTGTGTAAATTTGGATTACTGAAAAGACACCAAATGGTAGATTTAATCAAATCCATTTTGACTGGAAGGATGAGCCTGAGAGCAGCTCGGGCTGTCCTTCCTGCAGAGCACATGACATGGGGGCAACACCAGTAGCATATATCCCAGTCAAATATTAACTGGATTCACACAGCCTGACCCACCTTTGTTTTGGAATACACTGGACAACTCCACTCAAGCATCCATTATTTTTATTTTTCTAATAACTTATTTAACCCCAAGATTTCTCCAACCCATTGTTCTCTTTGTAAATAAATAATTAATTTTTAAAAAAATCTAACATGCTTATCATAAATCTCTACATTACACTGCCCCGTAAACTGTCCTGAACTCCAAACCTCTCCTCGTAGTAGAAGACAATAATCTACTGTGAATTGGTTTTGCTTATTAAGTTTTAATTTATTGCTCTGCCGTCTCTTAAAAAGGCTGTTTATTTTACAATACCTTACATGAGCTGTCAAAAGCCCCCTGAAAATTTATAACGGTTCTGATCTCCGGATCCCCTTTCAATCTAAAATCATAATTTATTTCTTTTTCTTCTTTTAACACGTCTAACAGGCTAGAATGACACAATTTGCCCTTGTAAATGCCATTCTGGTTTGACCCTATCCAGTTATACATATTTAAGTATTCACACTATTTTATCCTTGAGCTCAATAGGTTCTCCTTGGAAGTGATAACAGGAGGTCATCAGCTAAACTCTTTGCAACATGTGTGTGTGGTTTGGTTTATGGACTCTTTTTGGCTCCTATTCTGCATCAAAAAACCACAAAAAGACAACAACCCTGAATCCTCCCTTCATCTCCTCTACCCTCCAAATTCTGGAAATGAACAAAAATTATTATACACCAAATTTCCTACCTAACCTTTATGGGATGTTAAGAACCAAACTAAACCCAACCCAACCCAACCCAACAAAACTGGAAAAAAATAAATGTAAAACACTTTACGCTTTTATCTTAATAGTGAATCCAAGGAAATTAGAGGAAGGTCTAAATAAGTTTAATCCCATCACACCACTATATGCTGTTTTCAGTCATAACTCTAAAGTAAGCAGAGGCTTACATGCTTCAAAGCAGATCTGTAAACATGGGTATGAAACACTAAATGATAGAACTTGTCTGCATTTCCATATATATATGTATATTTTTATATGTACATATATATAGTAATCTCTATAATAAAAACAGTCCTGTAATTTATCACAAGCTTCTAGCTTTCCATGTTTATGCCAAATGAAAACCTGGGAAAACCTACTATCTGCTTCTCCAGAAGAAGGTTACTATAGTAAATGATAACAACAGCAGAAGGTTTAAAAAAGGCAGACATATGTATTCTGGAAAGCTCATAGACCTATGTGAAATCAATGTAGCATTTTATTGTTACATTGCAATTAAAATTCCTCTATAGCTGAAAGCTCTGCTTTCAAATCTGAAGGAAAGGCAGGATTGGTTGCTGAAAATATACTATTTTACAGAAATGTTTTACTAATAAAGCCGTCTGGGTAGAAATCACCACGCCAAGATAACACTCGATGCCACCAGTGAAAGGCAGTAGCACACACGGAGGGTTCCCTGGTTCTGCCTTTGACAAAAAAGGTCTCTGGGGGCACAGCTGCGGCTGCGGAGCAGAGCGACGGCAGCAGCTGTGCCGGCGGGTTCCTAAGGAGAGGTGGAAGATGGCTGTCACAGCTTGAGCCTGCAGCCCGGGACAGGACTCAGAGCAGCTGCCTCGCCAAGGGCCACTTACTGCAGCTCCCACCCCAGCAAACATCGCTCCTGCACTGCCAAATGGAGAAGGAAGGAGAGGGAGAGAAGACACAGAAATAACCTGTTGTTACTCCTCTCCAGGTGATTTCCCGATTAAACGGTTCGTGTGTCAGGAACACAAATTTGTTATTTTCAAGGCAAATTTAGACTGCTTTTAATCGGTGTATGCAGTAAAATGTAGTCCAACTGACCTGAATTGGGTTTCTATTCCCCTGTATTGGAAAGTTTAAAGGTTACTAACTGCACCAAACCCACGATCTTTTGCAGCATTAAAGATACGGCAGCACTAATATTACATCAATTAAACAACTATGCCTTATGACTGTTGGCCTTCTCACTTGTTGCAGACTTTAAAAGAAATAACAAGAGCCTTTCTATTCAAAACAGCTCACCATTCCATATTTGCTTTCATTTTTTTTTTTTAACAGAAAACCCCAACAAAACTATTTTAAGTAAAGCACAAATGATCCTTTAATCCTGCAGTTAAAATGTGATATAAACTCACTCACATTCATTGCCAAATCCTCAATCTGTCTTCTGGATCATAACAACGCCATTAAAAAGCAGAAACTTACGCCATAAATCTCTTAAGGCAAAGTGTAAAAAGCACTGTAACTTACCGATGTCATTGCTTCTTTCAGAGGAGTCTTTCTCTAGAGTGCCGGATACTGTACTGCCCACTAATTCCACTTTTGGACTATCACTCCTGCATTTGGATCAAGAAGAGGAGATGTTTTATTGGGAGTTTTTGTGTGGGTTACAATAAATTGGTTGCTAACTTGCAATTAATAATGGGAGAGAAAATATTCTTCCTTTGTAGCACCAGAGTAATAGCAATATGTCAGAGAGCGCAATCTCTAGTAAGCAGACATGCTGTATGGATTAACCTTATCTCATTTCTCCTTAACACCTGTCAAAAAAGCCTATTTTAGACACTGTAGTGTCCTGAATAATTCTTCAGATGTTCACAGCATCTCAACATGAAGGAAACCCAGGAGCAAGGGGACATTCTTCAACATCTTATTTGTAATTTTTTCTAATTAATTTGCTTGCATAAACTACAGCAATGGACTATCTGGAAAGCTGCAGAAAGGGAGGGAACCTCAAGCTAGCATTGTACGTTTCAGCAGGTCCCAGTATTAACTCATAAAGCAGCTCCTCCACCATGTTTTTGCACATTTCTTAGGAGGCTGGACTATGAATACTGTTTCCACAGGTCCAAAGAACCAAGATCAGCTAATTTGTCTGAAATGGCTTTGGAATAGGCAAGTGTCAGGAGTTGTGATACTTTATACAGAGGAACTATTTTAAAATCAAATAGGAGATCACACATAAGCAACACAATTTTTCTTTCATCGTAGAACTTTCAATCCCTCACCTACTTATGTTTACTACAATAAGCTACCTATTGAAACAATTAATTAAAAGAAGGCCAGTGGTAGGTGAGTAACTCAGCATATCACATAAACAAATCTCTGAGATATTTACTGTGATAACAACTATTCAATTAATGCAATAAATTGTACTTGTCATCATTATCAGGTCACCTAACAGATAGTTTTTTCACAGTATAAAAGTTATGATGTACATAAGGTACTCGGTTTAGGGATAAAAATATAGCCTTGTCCCAGGCAGATGTGCACTATACAGTGCACAGAAATAATTAGCCACTGAAAGTAAAGTACACTGTGAGCTTCCAAATCTTGTTGATTTTTTCATTGGTCTCCACCTTTGATGCCATAAGCTGATGACAGATGGTCTGAACCTCAACTCATGGCAGCAGCTTATGAGCAAAACATAAAGTGGCTGGAAACCGTATTTCAGACTTCAGGAAGGCTGTGATAAAGAGCCTGAAAATTTCTATTAAAACCCAGAGGAAGTCACAGATTAAGTGAATATATATCCCATTAAACACTGTGATAGGGTGACAGGTATTCTATGAACAAAAAAACCAGACAACCAGATCACGACCTGAAAAGCAAACTAACAATATGGCAGGCAGCCTGCACCAAGAAGGAAACAGAAGAAATTTAACACACATATAGAAAAATGTATTAACTGGCAAGATGATAAATAAGAGTATTCTCCAAGTTACCTACCTAGACAATTAGTTTTCTTACCTTTTAGTCTTTAATTTTTTTTTTAAAAAATTGCTTACGTATTTGTAAACCTGTAAGAGGCAACAGTGTTTCTTGGCTGATGGGGCAATGAGCATCTGCCTGCATACTCTGTTTTGCACACATTTATTTCCCAGCAATCTGAGAGCACCATGTGAGTTGGAAGCAGTATAGGAAATGTGTAAGTACAATTTTGGAGGAGATTCTTAGAATGGTGTGATTTAGGGCTGAAAGTCACAACATTTATCATCTGACTACAAAAGATACCAACAGATATGACAACATCCCCACAACGAAACCCCAACCCTTGTCAGAAGAATCAACAGGCTTATTATGCCAATCTACATTCATAATGTTGTGAAAGAAAGGGAGCCCTCCTTGGTCACGGCATATCCGCCTCTCTGCTCGTGCCCATGCAGACAGGCTGTCAGCTTGATCAGACAGATGATCACCCTGAAAGAAACCTCACACTAATAGAAATCCCACTGCAAACTGATTAATTGCCATCTGGAGCAACTCCCTGACCCATATGGTTGAATGGCTGGACAAATACTGGTGCTAACATAAGGGAGGTTTTGGGAATGGGGTGCCAGGAGAAGGAACCTGCCCCTCTAAGCAGCAGCATGGACAAAGATTGGTTTAAACTGACTGTAAAGATGCACTTTGTGTAGGTGTTCATGGCTTGCCTACTCCAGAGAATTGACTTATCTGTAAACTGTATAATCACAGCATGTCTAAATAAGCTGCGAAGCCTTTGGAGCAAATTGACAGCTATTCACTGTCCCATGGGATTTTTATATCTCCTATTGCCCTGGAAGCCCTACTCTGCCTCCAGTGAAGGAGCACTGTATTTAAATGGAAAACCAATCATCACTACAAAAAGTCAGTAAGATGCATAAGATGCAAGCCACTTACTCAGAAAAAAAGAAAACCCTCTTTGGCTCAACAGCCTTCACGGAAATCGCACAGGACTCACTTTATATCTACATCAATTTTTCCCCTAAGGATCATGTACTGTTTTTGGCTGGCATAGAGTTAATTTTCTTTACAGCATCTCGCCTGGTGCTGTATTTTGGATTTGTGCTGAAGATAGCATAGATAACACAGGGGTGTTTTCATTATTACTGAGCTGTGCTTTCACAGAGATAAGGCCTTTTCTGCTTCTCATATGGCCCCACCAGTGAGGAGGGTGGGGTGGACAAGGAGTTGGGAGGGGAAACAGCTGGGACAGCTGACCCAAGGGATGTCCCACACCATATGGCATCATGCTCAGCATCTAGAGCTGGAGGAAGAAGAAGGAAGTGGGAGATGTCTGGAGTTACAGCATTTGTCTTCTCAAGTCACCACTGCACGTGATGAAGCCTGGCTTTCTTGGGGATGGCAGAATATCTGCCTGCCCATGGGAAGTAGAGAACAAATTACCTACCATGCTTTGTTTGCACATGCATCTTTTGCTTTACCTGTTGACCTGTTTTTATCTCAATCCACAAGTTTTCTCACTTTTGTCCTTCTGATTCTCACCCTCATCCCACTGTGGGGGAGTGAGTGAGTGGCTGAGTGGGGCTGAGCTGCCCATCAGGGTTAAACCACAACGGGTCAGCTAATTTTCCTCAAATACAATAGTAAAATTATTTCCATGCCTATATTGTTGTATCTCTGCCAGATGTACAGCTTGCCCATTTTATGCAGCTGCTTTTATTCCGGTTTTCACCCAACTCTATTCACTATGCATAAAAGAAGTCTATTACAGTGCTAATGACTAAAATGCAGCTACCTAGCCTTGATTAGGACTATGGGTGAGGCCTTTAATTTCTGCAGCCTCTGCTTTAGCACTCAATAAATCGAGTTGTGTTGGCAAGTCCAGTTTCTCAGTGCTCCTCAAAGGCTGTAACCACCTCTGATAAAGAAGAACATCATGTAACTGGAGAGGAACAACCACCATTAGAGCATAAATACTTGACAGCACTATTCTGCAGCAGTGGCAGCAGCTAAAGGAGCATTCTGTAAAGACACATATTTTGCTAAAAATGTATATAAAATGATCAAAGAAAACAGACTGAAACCAAGCTGGCAGTATTTGAAATGTGCATTGTCTAATGCTCTTCCTCAGTACAATCCAAGCTTTTGCCCTGACTTAGTGCCTAAACTAAGCTGCAATAATTTGAGGTAAACTAAGACAGTCAACATCAGTGCAACATACTGATGCAGATATTTCCCACATTATTCTGCAGTGTTGCAGTAACAGTGTGTTCACCAGTAGAAATGAACTACTAAAGAACAGTCTAATACTGCTATTCTTGAGAAGACAGTTATGATCCAGCCAGGAGACTACAAGGATTTCCTTTTTTCTTGTGGTTCTTTAAACACAGTTTACAGTGAAATAAATTTATGACATAAACTGTAAAACCTAAATTCTTTAAATGTGTGTTTTTTCCATTAAACCCAAAAGCATTGGACAGAGGAAAAGCAATACCTTGTGTGAGTCACAGGCACAACTGGTCTTTCTGGTCGTCTTGGGGGCAAGGTACCAGGTCTGTTCACAGAGTTGGCTTTGGGTGGCCGAGGTTTCTTCGGAGGTATAGCAGGAACTGAAGGCTTCTGCAAGTCTAACTGCTTTTGCTCTCTCTCTGATCTTTCTTTAAATCAATCATTTCCAGAAAAAAGAACACGGATATTATTAAGTGGAATTCATTTGCACTAACAAGCCTACAATTGAACAAGAAATCTTCCACTGTAGATACACTGTATACAAAAAAACCCCCTTATTTCCTTTCCACTCCTGTTCTAAATAATTTTTTTGTTTGAAATAACAGGTTTACCACAAATCAATTGTTTGCCATGCCTGACTGTTCTGCCTGTAACTCCTCATGGCCAAAATGTGTGTGTGCAGTGTCTTAATGGGAATAATTTTTAAAATTTTAGTAACTTACTGGTTTCTGACTGCAAAATATCAGAATGGCAAAAAAATATGTACCACATGGAACAATTTCCCATGAGCACAACTTATATTAAATTCTAATATGAAAAACAATATTACATTAGAAGGTCACAGAAATAATTATGCTGGATATTCTTAATATAACTTGGAGAAACAGAGAAATATAATTTCTAGCGGAAAATAAAAACTGTGTTTCAAGTGGTCTACAGTTAAAATATGAAAATAAAATACAAGCATAAAAATTTAGCAATGTTTAGCAGGATGTAAACCCCTTGGAAAAATCAGACCTTTTGTTTAGGTTTTTAAGCACAGACTTATATGCTGAATTTTTCAGCTTGCCAGTGAGAAACTAGATCAATTGCAGAAATGATTATGCATTTTTAGAGAGTGCCAGGATACCAATATCCAATGCCAAACATACAATGCCTGTGAGTGTGTAAAGTACAATACACATGAATAAATCGTATAAATACTATCCTCTAAATTTCTAATACAAACCAAACACATGAACACATTTGCCACACCAAAGGAAACCTGATTTTTCTTAGAAAGGACAAAACTCTCAAAGGGACCAAAGTTCTGCTCTCTGTATCCTACTATGTCAACACTCCACTTCCCTTGACAACACTGTCTGTGATATACCATGAATATTACACTTCTGTATGCATCTAAGAGGTACTGGCAATGCTACAGAGCTTTGCTTAATGGTTTCTAGGTTTCATTCAGTATGAGAGGATCTTGAAATAAACCACCAGAAACACAATCCACATTAGATCTGGAATAGTCCAGTTAGCAACTATTGTTCACAGGCATAAACCCTTTCCAGTGCACTTTCAGCAGATGCAGTCATTGGGTCCTCAGTAACATTGAAGCTTTTCCAGCATACTGTGACATTTTTACACACTTAATCCTATGACAATTTATTCTGTGTCAGCGTCCAAGAATCTAAACTATGCATGAGGGACAGGCTAGGCAGTGTGCCAACACAAAGAACTTTCCTGTGCCACCCCTGCTGCCACACCACACTGAGCAATTCCTGCCATTCCCGGGTACTCCTGAAATGTAGGCACAACTCCTACAGCTTCTTTTCAATGCTCAGAGAAGTTACAGATATTTATAGCCTGAACAGTAACATATTTAAACTTCCTGTGCTGTTTTGGTAGTTGGCTTTGTAAATCCAAAAATGGAAAGCAAAGATAACCATGAGAGGCAGCACACATAACCAAAAGTAAGCATATGTAGAGTAAACTGCTAAAACACCTGTCAGATCACTAAGATACATATCCAGAAACAGACCTTGGTGCAAAGTCTGAAGGTTCTGGCACTAAATTATAACTGCATGTTATACATTTATTTGTGTGCTTTTTAAAAGGCTGCAAGATTGAATACTTCGAAATTAAGAAGTCCCATAAACAAACTTGTCCATACAATTGAACAGTCCACTTAAACACATGAAACTTGACACCATTCAATTAGAGAACTGATGTAACTATTTTCCTGAAACTATTAGGAATGCACAATGAGCACAATGAAACCATTAAAGGCTTAATTTGCTTGTCCCTGCTCTGTGTGGTACCGTGTCCCATTTCTCGCAATGTTCAAACAAGGCTTTGAAGACACAACTTTTTCATTTCTTCAAGCCTTGCCTATGACTTTTGTGACTATGATAATGGGGTGACTCATAATCTTTAATGGCTATTATCTTCACAAAACCCCTCTGTGATGCAGGAACACCACCAACCCTGCTTTCAACTAGAGAACCAAGGCAGACAGATGTTAAGAAAAAAGTACATGCTAACATGGGGTATCTTACTCGATCAAGGTGGGTTTTACAGAGCACTGAGCTTTATACAGCATTTCATGTATTGAGAGCAAATCTCCCCTTGACTACAGTTGTGGCTGCACGTACTTAACAGCTCTGGATTGGTAAAACTGAAAACCCTAAATTTAGTCCATAAGCTACAATGAGATCCTTTCCAAAATGCCTACCATCACAATCTATCAGAGTGGGAAACAAACACCCAAACAATACACTTAATGGAAACAGAGACTGTGAAATGACAATGTGCATTGGTTCCATTTCCCCTGTGTCTCTGCAGAGAGCAGGCAGGAAAGCACATCTCATACCTTTTTCTTCTGTTCGATTAGGAAGACATTCTGGCCTTTCAGGTGGTATCTTTTTGATTTCATGCTTTCGATCTGTGGTCCCTGTCAAAGAAAAAAAATTTTGAATTCTGAACAAGCCAAAAAACCAGCATATACAGCCACATAAGATTTAATTCTGCAATTTCTTACGCTTTTTATATTCTCCAATTTGAAAATGTCTTGCTAAAACTGAACATAAATTTATTACAATTATTTGCTTGCACCATAATGACAAAAAAGCAATTGGATGTTTATGGCTTTATAATCAAGTTCACGGTTTCCAAACTGTGCACCCCCAAAAAATAGACACTTTCAGACCAGTCTGTGGAAAAAACAAATCAATAACTACAGATTTTTAAATATGGACAGATGTTTTACCGTTACAGATGTACTTAAATGAGAAGCAACTCAATAGTGTGCAGAATTATTAGGAATAAATCAATTAATTGCATAATGCCGAGAGAATACTTAATAGAGCAAAATATACAGAGCTTATTTTACATAAGTTAACCCATTTCCTCCTATTTTTCACCACTAGTAGTAGCTGTTCACTTCCACATATTAGAAGGATAGGAAGAGCAGTGGTGGCAGTATTCTGCGTGACTATTTTAATTGACAGCTTTTGGCCTGGAGCTGTAGGCTCCTGCTGCCTTCTGCCTCTGTACTAATGGCCCTGACATACCAATTTCTCTTGCTCCAGGGAATATGGGAACTCGTGGCATCAACAATGGGAAGACTTTGCAAAAATTTCCTGGCACATGCAAGATGCAATCTTAATCCCCATATTATAAGGAATACTTGACTGTATATTGGTTTGCTGCTCTGGCTCACCACGACGTGCTAATGCCATTCCAACTTCGTAGTGTTGAAAACCCCTTTAGGTAATGCCATTAGTATCTCAATAAAAATTACAGTAGATGAAATCCAAGAAAAGCAAAGGAGGCCAGGCAGGGAACACAGGGCAATTTTTTGCTTCAGTCCATTCTGCTATATGCAGTTTTCAAGTACATTTACCTTTTCCAAATGTGGTGTTGCAACTCCCTTCTGCAGCTGGTTCCTAGAAATCAGAGCTCACCAGTGGTGATCACCAGCCATTGTTTCTTTACATAAATGTAGGACAGGCGATACTTGTATCATTTATCTTGTCAATAAATAATACTAAATTCACATTTTACAGTTGGATTCAATGATCTTAAGGGTCTTTTCCAACCTGAATGATTCTATGACCAATACTTAACTTCTTAGAGGTAAAACTGTTGCTGCAAACCAATTAAAACCTTTCTACACAATAGATATGCAAAGCACAAGGCAACATATTGGTAATCTTGCACACAGCAGTGTCATCAAGAAAAAAAGACCTAAAAATGTCTAATTACAGCAAGATTAATGGCCATCATTAACACACAGAAGGACATTCTCAGGCCAAGTCTAAAACAAAGAGCCTACAAACACTGAGGAGCTCCCAGGCTCAGGTGTACTCCCTACTTGGGTTGTGACTCCCAAATTAATCAGCACCCAGGCAGGCACCATGATCCTGCTTTCACTTCCAGGTGAAGGTCACCTGCAAGGAAGCTCCGGGGAACTCAGCATCAGCTCCCAGAGGAATTCAAGAGTATTCCCACCCTTCAGTCCAGACACAGTTATATTTCTTATCCCAGCCACCCAGTGAAATGCCCACTGCTTTTCAACAGCTATGTATAAGGTACTTGTGCTCCTCAGTTTGTCTCTCCAGTTTTTATCTTGCTTTGTAAACTGGTGCAGCAGAGAAGGCCCTGGCAGCCTATTGCTGTGGAGAGCTTGGAAACACAGCCAGACTTCTATCTCTACTATAATACAAACTAGACACCTCTTTTACACTATCAACACTAAGGTCTAACATGGAGATGTGGTAAAACACTGTATAACCTCAATGAAGTGATAATTTGATGAATATTTGTTGGTAATAAACATAGGACAATTTTCAGCTCTCAACACCTATCAGAAGAAACTTTTGTGCCTCATCAGCCAGGACTTGTCAAAGACTGAAAAGAAAGAACTGCAATAGTCTTGGCTCTGGCTTAAGACTTAGACTGCCTTAATGAAATGGTCTACATCCTCTTTGCACTCATTTTTCCTTCTGAAAATGGGCATATTATCTGCATGCAAACAGGTACATATTAAAAGTGTTATTCCCAATACAATGTTTTATAGAGCTTTTCTGAAACATGTCAGGCTATAACATCAGTTGTCACTAAGACACTGTACCACCACTAGATGGCAAAGTCATACTGCTATCTCTGGACACTGTTACTGATTTTAAAATCTAATTTATGTTTTCATGAGTCTCAAGACAGAGTAAAGAACAAACCACAGATGTCAATAAGCAACTCAGATATTTATAGTCATGATTCTATAGTCAAAGACTGCATGAAAAATCCAAACTAGTTAAATTACAGCATATTGATTCACCATAAATTGTACACTGGTGCAACTTCTATTAAGAGCTCAAGACTGCGGGAGAGGGAAATTTACTTTTTAAAGCACCAAAAGCTGGAACAGACCACAGTAACAGGAAAACTATCTGTCTAGATTGGATGAATTTGTTTTGGTTTTTAATGTGTGCCAGCAGTGGGGGAAGCACTAGTGCTGCTGCAGAATTTTTACAAACTCACTGGACTTGAAGGATTAAAGAATTCCAGCCATAGTTATGTTTCCACCACCACCACTGCAATACAAATGAAAACTCCAAGAGCATCCCCTGCCTTGTATTTTTTAATTCAACATGAATGGAACTGGAATTTTGTTTCCAAGGTCAGAACTGTCAAGTGCATAGATACTTAAACTGTTTTTAAGTTTTATGATAAAAATAAATCATGCAGGCACTTTTGGAAATTAGTATTGAGGGGTCATTTTAAAACTACAAATAAAAGTGAGTTTAGCTCTCAGTATGTACCCACAATTCAGTCTAACGTTACAAAAACAGTTCTGCCAGCACTCATCTGTTTGCACAACAGAATCAGCCCCTTAATACATCTGCAACACCATTATCTACATAACCAAATTCAGGATAACTCCTTTTAGTTTTATACTTAGGGCTATAAATTATCGAAACCCAAGAATCTAACTATGGCATAGACTCCAGAGCACTCAGCCAGCTCCAGCATTCACAGGGACCCACAAGACTTCAACTGCAACCCAGATGAGACCACTCTATGACAGTATTTTATGGATTTACAAAAAAGCTCTTTGTGTCCAGAATAAATCACATCTATGGTGAATGCAGTTTCCTGCTGCAGGTATTATCAGACTCCAACATACCGGGTCTGTACTGTGAAGACACACACACAATCAACTTCAGTCAAGGAACAGAACCTAAAACTTCTAAAAACTGAAGTGTCACTCTTGCTCCGACTTAACATGTTTAAGGGGTGATACAGGTTATTTTAAAATAGTGCAGATGATTGCCTGCAACACATTTAAAAAACACACATCCCAATTTTTTTAGAGTTATCAACCCTGAAAGAGTCTGATTTATTAGTTGTTGTCTAGACACCTGCTTATCAATTATGATATATATGAATTCTATATATATTTGAATATACTTTAGATTGAGATGTGCTCACTGACATATGCTGTACAAAATCAGCTGCATCTTACCTGATCCTTGTTTGATGACAGGAGCTGATGGAGGTGGTGGTTTCTTCGGTCTCTAAAATTTAATAACAGAAGAAAACAGATTGCTTCAAAATGCCTGCAAATCTCATTCATACAAAAGTTGGAGTTAATAATAAAGTGCTTAACATTAATAATTACAAGTTATAAGACTGTCACATATTTCTCCTGAAATAACTTCATTAAAATGAATCTGAAGGGAGAAAATAACACTGACAAATGAAATGTCGTTTTTATGCTTTTACAACTGAAATATCTTATTGAGGGGTTAAAAAGAGGTTCGTTTTATGTACCTCTTAAGATTAGAGGAATACATGACCTTTGGCCTACTGAAGAAATCTATATCTTTAAAACTTAATCTTGTAAATATTCCTATTCATTTTGGAAAAAACTTGTGGCAAAACCTGATGTGCTCTTTCAGACTCAGAGATGACGCAGAAATGCAGAACACAGGAAATACTGCAGAATACTGCAAAAGTTACATTTTATTCACTTACCAAGATTTAGAGTTTCAGTTGTGAAAGACAGTTATCAGGATTTTAGATGTTTGGTGAAACAAATCATTCCAAATAATCTGTACTTTTTACTTTTACCTTCTCTGTCATGACCATTTCCCTCATAGATCTGTAATGGTATGACCACAAAAGCAGTGCCAGAGGCATTTCTCTTCACCTGCAGCTTAGGGGAGGGATGTCTTTTCTTCTGTGCCAAAGTGTGTGTATGCACACATCATACTGGCATTCACCATGTGTTCGAATGAGTACAAAACCAAGTGGAGGACCATGCTACATTAAAGAACACACTTTATCTCTCCCTCAAAAAACAAACAAACAAACAAAAAAACCCACCAAACAGACAAACAAACAAACAAACAAAAAACCCACCAAACCCAACCAAAAACTATCAAGATTATTGAGCATAAATTCTAAGCAAAAATAATTTTTCCTATGCACATCCATCTTTTCTGAGATGGACCTTATTTTCTTTGCTATAGATTGATCACAATCGCTGTCTGGTTGATCACAATCACAATTGCTGGCTATGTAGCACTGTATATTGTCTTGTGGAACTAAGTATAAAATGATGTTTCCATATATGCATAGCTTTGCCAAACTTCAACCATCCATTTAAGCTGATATTTTCTCTCAAACTCTTGATCCCTGCCCTCCCTCCCATTACTTTCTATGTATCTGCCAAATCTTTCGAGGAAGATCAGTTGTTTTGTTCACTTGCAATAATTAGTTCAGCCTCTACCCTAGAACTCTCAGATCTCGCTCTGACTGTGGACAGGGAGCACGTTTGCTGTGAAGGCACACACCCTTCCAAGGGACTTCTTTCAAGCCTAGGAAACTTATTGATCTCTGGAGGAAAAAAAATACCAGATTTTGCACAGCTTGAATTTCAGAAGTTGTCATCCAGTAACCCTCATGTTTCTCCTATCACCTTATCCTGACGAGACCACCTCCTGTCATCAGCTTGAACAAACTGTGGTCAAGAACTCAGGAGATCAGAATGATCTTCTCTAGCCTGGCTGCTGAGGACCATTGTCCAGGAACACTGAGTCCCTTATAATCTCAGAGATACTTTTGTAAGAATTTGGGCGATATGTTTAAAGGTTTAAACGCAGAAAAGTGAAAAAAAAAATTGGAAAGGAAATATGATAGGAAAAATGAATGTCTTGTGATAGCAATTGGGAGTTTTGTTGATAATGGCTGCAGGGTGAAATAGTTGATGCCAAGGATCCAGCAGTACAATATACACATTTGGGGTTTTATTCTGGAGTGGTGTGAGACTGATCCCATTGACTGTCCATACATGAGGAGTTGGAATATAAGCACATCTCCTTTAGCACGTCTTTTGGCTTAGTTCTCATCTGTAAGGAGTCTAGGTCATGTCCCCTGAGATGTGTCTTCCACAGTAAGTTCAGCAAGTGCAGATGGACAAGTGACAGATTCACTGCAAATCCCACTCCAGATAGGAAAGGGTCCTATGGTTCACAAGGCAAAGTGACTTTAAGTGAAAGCTGAAGAGGGAAATACATTGTTTCAAAAAGGCAGACAAAGATCAGAAAAGGGTGTAGTGTGAAGAAGGTTTAAGAGTGCTTAGGGAAACATGGAGAAGCAAGAAGGATTCACAATGTGTTGGAATAGAGGTGGTGAGATAAATGAGAAGGTGATGGAGACAGACTAAAAATTAAGCAAATAGACATGAAACCAGGACTGGCTGGACAAGAAGAGAACAGAACTACAGAGCAGGGATGAAGAGTAAGAGGGGAGAGGAAAAGAAGCTGGACAAAGAAATTTGGTGTAGGAATAGAAAGTAAATCCAGATGTTGATTAGATTCAGGTAGTGATCTCAGGGGAAAATCCTGTAATGGAGATCACCTGAGAGGTGGAAATGCAGACCAGGCAGTGAATAGAAAAATCTGGGGTAAATATCCACGTGTGGAAAAGAATCAGGTTTGGAAAATTGGGGAGTGAACAAGGAGATGGGAAAAGATTCCAAGATTTGTTCAACAGACAGAAGAACTACTGCAACATATACTTTCAGAGCATAGGATGGATTCCAAGGTTTCTGAAACACATCAGAAAATACCTGACAAAATCACTGGAAAAGTATTTATCTCCTTCCCTTTTAGCACTGATTCAAGCAAAGATAGATGGTCTGTAGTCCTACCAGATACTTACTCATGTGGCCAGATTTGTGGCATTTTAAAAATTAATAAAATTTTATTCTCCACATTTAGAGCAGACCTAGCTGTAATTTTTAAGTGTCTGAATATCTAATTTATTCTACAAGTTATATTAAAGTGTGCTCTAAAAAAACACTTTAAAGGTATATAATTTATAAGTTCAAAAAGACTGAATAATTTCGCCACAAAAAAAGGATATGAGTAAAGATTTTCTTTCTTCTATAATAGGCTCACTATGTCTTAAGGTTTATGATTTCTGCCTCTTCTGGAAATCACCTGCTTTTATTATTAAGCCTAAAGCCAGGATATCCACTCTGCTACGGAATTGCATTTTCATCTCCCACCATTTTTGCTGCTCTTCTATCTTCATTTCAATAATTATCATGTTAGCCTCTGTGAGTTGTTTAATAGTTGCTTTATTAAGCTTTCCAAGTTATTTAATTTTTGCCTTCGGCGTCCAATTTTTATTGCCAAAGACTGAAGCTGAGTGCCAGTAAGTCTTGGTTTTATCACAGAAGGTTTACACTGTCACGCTGAAATACTCATCAAAAGCCTGGTTGCAAGCTTTTAATACCCACTTGTAGCTGCAAAGGTTCCTAAAAACAGAATGGACTTTTGGGGTAAGGAATCCATGACTTTATTCCAAGAAACTGCAAGATTTCTAAATATTGTCTGGCAAATAAAAACACCATCTTTTTTGAATAAATAGAAGCTGAAAAGCTTATGCATAGATTTTATACCTTAATTTTTAATAATTCTGAGAGGTCGAGAACCATGCCTCTGAGATACCAAAAGCTCACTGGTTTTCAAATTTCCCAGTTAAAATGTCACCCTTTTTCTTTCGGAACAGTGCCTGGACTGCTGTCCATCAGCGTGCAGATGGTACATCAACTTTTCTCATTCCACCACAAAAACAATGGAGAAGAGTTAAGAATTCTGGATATTGTTGCATCACATGACTCAGTCCTGGGACCTCCAGCTCCTCTCTCTCTCAAACTTGTAGGACACAGGACAGAGTAGTGTAGAGGAGATGGGGTGGCTGGATGGGCAAATCAAACTCTATAATATGACTTGGAGCACCAGCACCACACATTCTCTCCATGGATGCTTTTTAACCCAGAAATTTGTTTCCTTTATGGTTTTATGCTATTAAGTTAAAAGTAAAACTTTGTCAAAACCACATATCTGAAAGAGGACTTCCTTCAACTCTACTTTCATTCTGTATTCTCAAGTGAAAATGAAAGAATACATTGCTTACCTCTTTTTCAAAATCAGAAGGAAGAAGCTTGACAAAGTTATCTGGAAACACACCTCGTCTGCCATTGAGTTCTCCTTCCCACCAACCCACATCAATGCAATCCTAAAAAATAGTAAAATAAAATAAAAACCACAATGTGCTTGTGTGCTGAACAGATCTGTGAGCTGAAGTACTTTTTTGCATAATGTTCTGCCTTTTTGCTAGAGTATGACAATTTGCTGGAGTGCCAGGTTAACAGGGTAATCTATCAGATAAAAATTTCAATAATCACCCTGCATTTCATTACCACATGGGCAGCTAGGAAAGAACCATAAACAGGCTATAAGAGCTCAAGACCTTGCATGTGTCTAAAACATTAGTTCACCATTTGATCTATTAGACAAGTCAGTATTTTGAGCAAGCATGACACTATGTCTGACTTCATTTTACAGAAAAGCCAATAACTTGATTCAACATCATACATCCCAGGAGATAAAAAAGCTTCTTTATTTCCCATAGTTTCATAGAGCAAAAAAGCTCGACTCATTTTAGAATTAATAAATTCCATCACACTCCAGTTAAGAAAGCATTATACACCCGAGCAATATCACTCATCACCTTTCTCTGCAGCATTTCTGAGAAGCACAATGCAGAGTGTGTAGCAAAACAACAGACAGATAAATAAGTAGTATCAGTGAGTCTAAATGATGAAAAAATAGTACAGCTATTTTGGTTATGAATAATAACAGTAACAGAAGCCACAACAATTTTAGAGAAGGTTAAAATTGTTCCTTAAGTCCTCAGTGCTCCATGTTCAATTTTTTTGTGTGTGTTTGCTACAGAGAACAGTTCCTGTTGAGATTTTCCACATTCTTCTTTTCCGAAAGCTGAAGCTGAACCAATTCAGCTGTTTTCCAAAACACAATTACAGGAAAGTCACCCATTGTCTGCTCACTCTTAAAACCATTTCAGCCAATTTTTGCAGTTGGCTCAGCATCAGCCTGGCCAACCTTTCATGATTTCCATAAAACCATTTGTTTCAGCTACTAAATGGATGACAGAAAAATGCAAGTTAACTAAATGAGGTGTAGGTAATACCAAGTCTTAAAAATACTGTTCACAATTACTGTGCTTGTTGTTATTCAACAAAAACATTAGCATTAAAAACATGATTGCTTTTATGTTTTGGGGGTGTTTTTTTTAGTTATTTTTCTGTACTACACTTTTTATTTATCTTATTTAGTCCATCCTGAAATAGAATATGTGCTAACTGAATACACCAGCTAAACTGCCTGGTTTCTTGCATCATCTCTGTTTCAGTTGTATTTTTTCCCCCTCCTCGTATCTTAAAATTTTTCTCTGATGTAATGCAGGCACTGAAAAAACCTTCCACTCTTTTTTTCTGATAATTTTCTCTCATGCCTAATCTGTGCCTTTCTCCTGTATTCTCCCTTCTCTTTAGCAGGGTGGCCTTCACCAGGGACACTTACATTTTCTAGACCTTACCAGGACTTATTTAGGAAGTGTTTACTGGTTCTGTTAGATCTCTGTTAGTGAGCAGGGCTGATTCTTGACTAGCTGATGTTTTCAAAGTATCTGCTGAGTGCATACAGGGTCTCCATGTCAGGGACTCCATGGAGGACCAATATAATGAGCTAGTCAGGCACGGCATGGACAGGCACAGTGCAGGATACCACTCTTACTGCAGAGCCAGCACCCCTCACTCCTGATGTGAAGGGGCTCTCCCTCTTGGCTCTATCTACTTGCACAGTTTAGTAATCAGTGCACTCAACTGTGTTATCACATGGCATGTTTCATAATGCCCTCCACCCCCTACGCTGCTAATCGGAAATTGCCAAAACATTTATGACCCGATTTAGATTTTGCAAAATATTAAAATAATTCAAGCATCCAGAGACGAAAAGCTTGTGCTTCAACTGCTTAGTGCTGGCTAATAATCCTGACTGAGCAGCATGAGACATCACATATATCCTTTTTAGGTCGGATGTTTTTATGCTCTTAGGAAACACAAATATTACTCCTTCTTCTTAATTTGATTAACACACGTGAACTTTTTATTTTATGCTTTTTTAAAGCTCATCCATTTTCCTGAAGTGCTGTTTATGTCACACATTTATTAATCCCAAACAGCAGTAGGTTTGCTTTTTTTTTTTTCCTCTCCATCTTGTCACTCAGGCTTACGCAGCCAATCACCACGCTGGATTTTCATACAGTAAGTAAATCTCTTTAGGCAGATTCTCTTTAATTTTCTCATTTACTTTACTTGCAAGAGGAGGCTTATGTGTCACTGAGAAAAAAAGATAGAGATCTCAGAAATTAAAAGCTACAGATGAGATCTGGTGAAGAATCTCTGTGGCAGTGCCCTCCTGCTACCCCCAACTGTGGGCTTGCTGTGCCTCAGCAACCTCTGGAAGCTGATCCAAGATGCTGGCAGCAGGTAGGTCTTCATCATGAGACACACCACCATTCAAGCAGAGTTACAGCTGCACAAGCTGCCTCGAGTACTAATAAATGGCAGAGCTATGAAGCACAATCAAGGCAATATGATTAAAATGACGTGTCTGACCCCACTCTTCCTCAATCCTCATCAATCATGCAATCTTAACTATATTGTCCTTTTTAATGTATCTTCATGTGTTTGAGTTCAGTGAAATGGCTGTAATTTTAAAATGCAGATTTTCTAGAAAAGCTGCCAAGCAATCCAGTATCAATATTCCAAAATTTATTAACAAGTGGATCTCTGCTTTATCTCCATGTTTTCCTCGCTCATAAAACAATGTAAACAAACAAAAATCAGACATTGAAATATCCCAAAAGTCCTATGAAAAAAATTCATTCCAATTACTAAAAATGCATTTTTTTTCCTTTAATAAACAAAAAAGAAAACAAAATATTTACAAAATGAAGAGTAAGACATGGCAAAAAAGAAGAAATTGTGTTTGACAGATACTGAAGTTCACGCAAGTTAGGTGGTAGCTGGGTCAACATTTAGCTACTGTAAAAATCAGCTCCTACCAAAGCTTAATTTGGACACTGTACCCACGTACTCATTGCAGTGACAATGCAATCAAAGACCTTAGAGAAATTCTATGATCCTATGAAACAGCTCCACTCTGATACTTATGCCTGTGGTGACTGGAAGAGTAGGGACAGAGGAGGGGTGAGTGAGAGACCAGCCATGAGCCACGCAGAGAGATTTTAAGACAGACAAAGAAAGTTTCCATTCAGAGCATGAGATTTATCCCAATGTTACTGAATGCAAATGAAATATAGTGAGATACATAAATAGGGTTGACAGCGTAAGATCATGGCTTAGTCTCTTCTTGGCAACTGCAGTGCTCCTGCAGCCACTCTGTACGCACACAGTATCCTACATTAACACTTTTCTTAGCAGCAAAACTACTTCTCTTGTATTAGAACAAACACCACGCTATTCCTTCTCTCGGTGCCCTCAATCCAACAGTAAAAAAGCAGAAGCTGGTGGAGACTGAACAGAAAGCGTCAGCATAAAGCACCTTATACTACATAGTCTTACAAATACTCCCTTCACTGTACAGAAGCAGCTGTACCTACACAGGCACTACTGACAACACACTATCTGTAGTCATCTCCCCAGGGCAGGAGTACGGCGGGTCACAAGACAAGAACACAAACTTCCCTCTGCTCAAACACTATTGCTGGTTTTCTTTGGCAATAAAAGAGGTGACAACTGAGGTTGATAAGGCAGAGATGTCAGGCCCTTGCCAACTTGATCTCCACTTCACTAGCTGATATCACATTCAAGACCACAAAATTAAAAGATTCAAGTTCATACTCGGCAGGTGACACAGCTCTCTCATGCCGAGCCGTGTCCCACCTACGAGCTTGGCAATGACAGATTGCACCATTACGCACACATGACTAACTCTCCCTCCTGGAAATGCTCACAGTTTCACAGCCTTTCCCCCTGCTCCGAGGAGGCAGGAGTTTCATATACCCCAAAGACAGAGGGGCTTTTATTTCATATAAAGTTCTCTCTCCTAAAAAGAAGGGCTTGGTTATAACAGATGGGTCTATTTCTAGCCCAAGCTGCTATTTGCACTCTAAACCTAAGCCAGAAGAAAGGAACATGAAGACAACCAACCCTTTTGCTGAAAATGCAAAGCAGCACTTCTGGTTGTGAACATATTTATAATAAAACTCTCCTATTTGTATTTTTTTTCCATTATTTTGCTACGAGTCAATAAAGGAGGCAAAATTACTATAATTTAAATGTTAGATATGCTCCAGCATATGTTTTCCTCCAAGTAATATGCATTATTTAACTTCATTATTTTTTACACTTTTTTTTCTTGAAGCCACTTACAGGCAACTTACTATGTGCTATGAGACTGTTCTTAATCACCTAAATATCTGTACCAACCTGTAGCTTAGTTTAATCACTTAAATATCTGTAGCAACCTGTAGCAACTTGGCGTGTGTTTAGTTATTATTATTTTCCTCTTGCCTGTGTTTCAGAAGCCCAGTGGACTGATCTAGATCATCACTGAAGCCAGATGAAAGTGCATTCGAGAAGTGCACTTTCAAAATCACTCTGATCATCATTAGCAGCCATCTGATCTCACTGGGAACCTACCAACAGTTCAGCAACCTCTGCAGCTTTACCAAAATACAAGGAATCCTGAGAGCATCTGCTGAGCGGGGCTGGCAGGGGCTGCCCATGAAGCTGCTCCATGAGGTACAGCCCCACCCCAGCTGGCAGCACATAAGGGGTATAATAAAGGCTTGCAAGAGACACAGAAACAGTCTGACAGCTGGGCAGGCATCCACTCCTTCAGCCATGCTTTCTATTTGTTTTAGGAGCAAAGACGTTTCCTGCCTTTTCCTCCAAAGCAACCAGGCCTCCAAGGCAGCACCCACTCCCTCATCTCTTGCTGCCTTTGGAAGAAGGACTCACTATTTCAGGGAGTGCCGTGGCCCAGTTTAATCTCTCCCCACCCTAACCTACCTTCCAAGCTGCCCCTAGCAAAAAGAAGGCTTTTGTTGGTAAAAGTAAATGAGATATTTTTTTCTGTTCCCCAAGGTCCCAAAACGAGTAATAACCCATGTATTCATCTTCTCTC